TGTTCAGTTCGGTTACTATGCTTCTAACTCATTTTTATATTTTGTGCGTTTCCTAGGAGATCGATGGTAAAGCTTTGCTGCTCCTTAACAGCGATATGATGATGAAGTACATGGGACTGAAGCTGGGGCCGGCGTTGAAACTTTGTCATGTCATTGACAAACTTAAAAACAAAAAATAAAAACTTACAATTTAACACATGCAGGTGATAGTTTGCCAGCTTGCAGAGACACTTAGTGTCTTTGGGGCAACATTTTTCATGGCTTACTTGCGGTACAGTATGACATCAGTGTTGTTACCTTATACCATGATGTACCATACTGGCCCATAATGCACTGCACTGCAAGGCAAGGCAGAAAGCCCATCACAACCTGAGGTGAATATTCCAACAGCATTTGAAACGTGTGGTTTAATAACAACCACAAAAATTCAAACTATAGTGTACAGTACACTTACTACTACAGTGGCATTAGTCTTAACTACAAGTGTATTTTAGTTATTCCCTCTTTTAACTAGGAACATTTTCCCACCAAATCCTACTAACGTTAATTTCCAATAGATTGTTATTGGATAGTACTTCCCCCCAAATTAAAATATTCATTTGTTTATAATGGTACACAAACTATCATAACTTAATGAAAGATTTGATAACTAGATGCAGTATTAATTTACTTTAAAATAAATATATATTTTGCCAAAGTAGAAAATTTTTATAAGCTGAATGGCTTTATATGCATTATGGGTATAGATGTCAGGTTTAAATAAAACTGCCATATCAGTATATCAAGATATTTGATATAAGACTAGGCCTTAGATTAGTCGATAGGCCAAACATGCTTGAATTTTAAGATGTATGAAAATACAAAACTCATTTTACTTTATTTTTTCTCTCAAAATTTATGATTTTGTTACATGGTTGTCCACATTGTTTAAATTTTCTTGAATTTTCAATACTGTGAAATACTTTATTTTCACTGGAATTAATTTTAGCTGAAAAGACATTTTGGGTGTTTTGTAATGTATGGAATTTATTTTCACTGATTTTTGACAAGTTGAATGTAAAATATAGGAAAATAGGGTATATTCACTGGATTTTATTTTCACTGAATCATTCCTTCAACGAAAATAGCGGAAATAAATTCCAAGCGAAAATAAAGTATTCTACAGATTAAGACACAGATTTCTTGCATCTCACGATGCTGCATCTGAATCAATTCAGTTTTTGATCTTAAAATTCAGAATTGTCATTTAACCACATGGCCTATTGATTTGCATATTTGTTGTTGACCATGTTACTATTTTGCTGAAAACTATATTTACCATATCTTTGGACTATGTGAAGAAAATTGTCCATTTTCTGCAAGCTTTTATATTTGAAACAAAAAACTAGTAGATTTTATGTGAAAATATTGAATGTTGCCACTGATGGGTTTAGGTAGCAACAGTGGAAAATACAGCAATTATTAGCTAGTTTATAATATACAAAACATGTCGTTATGGCAACGTGTATATTCTCAGAAATGTGCATCAGTCATGGATT